TAATGTATACTGCATTGAAACAGATTACGGAGAAAACTGTTTAAAAGGGATATGTGATTAGGTATTTTTGTCATGACAGGAGTTCAGAGTGAAGACCGCATAGTGGAGTGGACCTGGGGGAGGATTTGTAAAACAATGAAAGAATTTTTCTTTTATTTTTCCAAGAGGGTAGTGTACTTGGGGGGGGGAGGGTTGGGAGGGGAGAAAAGGGCAACAGTGAATGAATGGAAATTCAGAGTCTCTGTATATTCTCATTGAAATTAATAATAAATTTTAAAAAATGTATAACTGTGTAACACATTTGCCAGTTCAGCATTTTTCGGGTGCACAATCTAGTGTTACCAGTTACATTCGCCACATTGGATGAACAGGCTTCTTAGGAAGCATCTGGAAGCCAAGTGATGCAGGGCTCCTTCTTCTGATCCAGGATGGCCTTTCCTCCCTTGAGAGGTCATTTATGTTACATGCACATCAGTGATACCCTAGATGTCGCAGCTGTTCTCTTGTGAAGAATGGGAAGTGTGGCAGCACCTGCGTACCTGTGTGAGGCAGAGAAGGAACTGCTTCTGGAGATGCCACCCAGCCCCACCTTGAACCCAGTGTGGGCACTAAAAATAACACAGCAGATGTTGCTGTTGGCACTCGGTCATGGGACTCAGAGGACAGATAGGCATGCGGGCCAGGAGCCAGAAAGGGCGGAGGTGCAGGCAGAAAGGCGAGGGCCAGCGGAGGATGGGGAGCTGGGAAGAAAGAATGAGGACAGTGTTTGAGAAGGAAAGTGGCAAATGATAAAAATAAAAAGAGAAGAGTGGCAGGAAGGGCTGGGGGAATTAATGGGATTTGCTGGCAGACATAAGCAAATTGTTTGAAGGACATTCTTTTTTCATTGTTTTTCATTGGTTTCCTTATAATAATCATTAATATACTTTGTCTTTATACAATCATTCATATCCATTGTATTTTATGTAATTAATTACTATTGATTTATGCCTGTTATCCTCCCTTCTCTTTTAATTCCTCATGGAATCTTTCTTATTCCTGAAGGACATTCTTAATGTGTGTTTTAACTGGCTTCAGAGAGGAAAAATAAAGTCATTGTTTGCTGAGTAAAGAATGCTTGCATATGGCTGAAACGGAGTCATCCCATGAGGACGACTGTAAACAAAAGAGGGACTCTGTGTGGAGGGAGCCAGGGTACCGCCCACAGGCTGCCAGCCAAGGGCACCCTGTACCAAGCACGGCTTTGTTTTCGTTTCATCTCAGGTAGGACAAATGCAGGCCTTGTATTGGTTTGGTGATCCCAGCTTGGCTCTGGGAACCAGCTTGGGAAGGTCTGATATCCACTGGGCCGTACGTTGAACCTCCTGGGGTAGACATCCAGGGACTCCAAACATCATAATCTTTTCTTTGATTTTGAAAGGCATGCCTGTGACTTGCTTTTTAAAAGTGATAGGAGTGTCATTGATTTTTAAAAGGGACTAAGTTGGCAAAGCTAGCTTTATCTAGTTTCCCTGGATATCCACAATATTCAAAACTGTGGCACTCATTACATTCTCAGTTCTTTCTCTATAGTCATAGCCTTTCGCAGGCTCATGACCTTTATGTCCACAAGGCCATCCATTTGTTGAGCCCTTCACACTTATTTGCACTTGTTATTGTTATTGTTATGTACCATCAACTAGTGACCTTATAAACTCTAGCTCTGAACCCTGCCCTGTCTCTGACACACCTGCCCCCATTGCCACAGGCACTATTTCAATCCGTGTCATCCATGGTCTTCCTAGAAACATGCCCCAAGTATGTGAGATGGAGTTTCACAATCCTAGCTTCCAAGAAACAACTTGGTTTCACTCTCTTGAGGGCAGATCTGTTTGTTCTCTTGGCAGTTCATGGTATGTTCAATACTCTTCTCCAGAACAACAACTCGAAGGCATCAATTCTTTTTCTGTCATCCTTAGTCATTGTCCAGCTCTCTGATGCATAGCAAGTAACTACAAAGACCATGGCCTGGATCAGGCTTACCTTAGTCTCTCTGGAGAGGTCCTTAATAAAATTCATCTTTTGATTTCCTAATTGCTGTTTTGAAGAGCATTGATTGTGGATCTGAGCAAGATTAAATTGTTAGCAGCATCAATCTCTTCTCCATCTATTATAATGCTGCCAATTGACCCTGTGGTGAGAATCTTTGTTTTCTTGATTGAGATACAATCCATATTGAAGAGTACAGTCCTTGACCTTCTGCAGCAAACACTTTAAATACTCTTCAGTTTTGGCAAGCAAGGCTGTTGATGAGTCTTCCTCCAATGCTGATACCACATTCTTCTTCATAGAGTCAAACCTCCTGAATGATTTGTTTCTCATAATAAATGAAAAGGTATGGAAAAAGGACAAACCCCTGACATACTCCTTTCTTGATTTTGAGGCATGCAGTGTTTCCTTGCTCTGTTCGGCTGACTGCTTCCTGGTCCAAGTGTAAATTTTGCAGCAGCATAGTCAAGTATTCTAAATTACTATTATTCTCAATATTAGTCACAAATTGTGGTGATGTACACAGTCAAATGCCTTTGCATAGTCGATAAAACACAAATAGACATTCTTCTGGTACTCTCTGCTTTTAGCCAAGATCCATCTAACATTCCCAGTGATGTCCCTGGTGTTATAGCCTCTTCTAAAATCAGCTTATGTTTCTGGTGGTTCTCTGTTGATGTACTGTTCCAGTTGTTTTTGGATAATCTTCAGCAGGATTTTGCTTGCATGTGATATTAGTGATATTGTTCTATAATTTCTATACTCTGTTGCATCACCGTTTTTGGGAAATAAGAATACATAAGGATCTCTTCCAGTCAGTGGGCCAGATAGCTGTCCTCCAGATTTCTTGGCACAACCTAATGAGCATGTTCAGGGCTTCATCTGTTTGTTAAAATGTGTCAGTTGATATTCCATCAGTTCCTGAGGCCTTATGTTTTGCCATTTCCTTGAGAGCAGCTTGAATTTCCTTCTTCATCATCATTGCTTCTTGATTATATGCTGTTTCATTAAATTGTTCCATGTCAGCCAATACTTTTGGTACAATGACTGTGTATACTCTTTCCATCTTCTTTTGATGCTTCCTGGATCATTCAATATGCATTATTAAGTACTCTTTAGTACATTGAGGTGAGGTAGATTTTATCACCTCCATTTTACAAATGAGGAAGCTGGACCTGAGAGATTATATTTCCCAGTGTCAAAGTTAGTGGCTGAACCAAGATTCAAACTCGGAATTTTTCAATTTATTTCTATTTTTTGCACTATCCTAAGCAATCACTTGTTATGCATCAGAGAGTTGGACAATGACTAAGGAAGACAGAAGGAGAATTGATGTCTTTGAGCTGTGGTGTTGGAGAAAAGTATTGAATGTACCATGGACTGCCAAGAAAACAAACAGATTCATCCTGGAAAGGGTTAAACCAGGCCACTCCTTGGAGACAAGGATTCTGGGGCTTCGTCTGACATACTTTGGACATGTTGTAAGGAGAGACAGGTCTTTAGAGAGAGACATCATGCTGAGCAGAGTAGAGGGACAGCGCAGGAGGGGAAGACCCTCTAGGAGGTGGATTGATTCAGTGACTGGGGTAATCGGGATGGGTGTGTCAGAGGCGGTGCGATTGGCACAGGATAGAGCAGGGTTTAGGGCTGTTGTACATAGGGTCGCTATGAGTCATAAACGACTCGATGGCACATAACAACAAGCATTTTATTGTAGGTCTGGGAGAGAAGTGAGAATCCTCTCAAAAGCTGCCTCCTTCAAACTCAGATTTTGATGAATTAAAAATACTGGTCAATGTCAGATCTCCCACTATAGAATTAAGTGCCAATTTGTTTGTATTTGCATACTAATCTATAGTGAACAGTTTTACATCTTACAAATCAGAGATTCTGTATCTAGATCTGACTGGTATCTCTCTCCTCCCCCCACACCCAAACTTCCAAGCACTTTCCTACAGAATCAATCCTCTTTGTAAATTTATAGTCCATGCCAGAGATGGAGTACCCAGTAAGCAAATTAAGCACAAACTGCCTTTACTTACTGGATAATCCATCCCTGACAGACTCTATAATAAAAACAAAAAGCAAAACTCTTGAAAATCTCTTGACCAGACCATTGACAAAAACAACTTCTGAACCAGATTCACATGTAGAGAACATTTATCAGTACAAAGAACATTGCCCCCCGAATCATTGAAGAGTAGATTGCCAGCATAATGCCTCATCCCTCTGAATGCTGGAGTGTATGTTTTTCACAAAAGAAGCTATTTTTCTGTAGTGATCTGTCAATTTGATATACTGATACATACGGCTTGCATGTTGCTATGTAGTGGAAAGTTATGCAACTGGTATTTCACATAACCAGCAAGGTCACTTATGATGGGCAGATTTCAGTGGAGCTTATAGATTGAGTCAACAGAGGATGAAGAAAGACCTTGTGGGTGAGACATACTTCTGAATATTAACCTATACAAGCTTTAATGTAACTCAATACAGCCATTAGAACTAGAAGTTCCATTATTACCAGCTAATCCTCAGGTATTCTCATAAGCTTCTTTACAGCAAAAGGATGCCATTCCCATGTGTTCCTCCCTTCTGGACCAGTCCCTCAGCCCTTTCTTGACTTTAATGACTTCGACACCTGTAAAGGTCATAAAATGATTGTTTTGCAGGATGCTCCCCATTATTACATAGAGGTGCTGCATCTTTGGTAGAAACTTTGTGGAGGGGATGTTGTGTTCTTCCCATGAGAACAATGTCAGGTACCAAAATGTTGATGTTCTAATCATGCATTCTTCTGTTTCATTTTCAGGTGGAATTTAGGCAAAACATATAATATTGTTTTGGGGTCAGGACAAGTCGTGCTGGGCATGGATATGGGTCTCAGAGAGATGTGTGTTGGAGAGAAACGAACAGTGATTATTCCGCCCCATCTGGGCTATGGGGAGGCTGGTGTTGGTGAGTAAGGAGCAGTATAAAAAGCTTCTGTTCTTGTTCATCCTCTGAATGCTGTGGTTTGGGGGCACCATGGGTGTTTTTTTTCCCTTTTTCTTATTTATGTATTGACATAAAATTTATTTCATACTGTTCTATATATGGTTCTCTAATTTATACATCTTGGATCATCAGTGTAAGATATACTATATTATTCTAAAGGGGCTCTGGTGGCCTAGTGGTAAAAAGCTGTGCATGCAATCCCAAAGACATACAGTTCAAATTCACCAGCTGTTCCGTGGGACAGGGATCGATATAGTCTCCTCCCATGTAGTTTACTGCCTTTGAAAATTGCTGCAGGGTCAGCTTTGAATCGGTTCCAACTCAATGGCACACAACAACATCATCTTGTTCTTAAAGTTCTCTCATTGCAGTTCTGTACTGGTGGCTTTCAAACTTTTTTCAAAACATTTCTCTTCTCTATATAAATTTGGAAGCAGGAGTGGCATCCACTTCCTAAATAACATGCCTCCGGAAACTCTATAAACTTTGATACATGTCGATAGTTGTAGAGGGGCTTCAGGCCTTTTGTTCATAGGGTCACTATGAGTCATGCTAAACTTAAAGACCATCAGCAACAACAGCATATATATTATAGGTAAATATACCCTTTATATATGTATATATTTACTATATTTTTTAATCAAGTCTTTGAACTGGTTCTTCCTGGTTCATTCATGGCTGTTGAAGAGAAGCCAGAACAGGGCCAAATGCAGGTTTTTAAGAATGATAAACAGAATGGAGACAATTACAAGTCGGTCTAGAACTTAATCTCCTCCTTAGAAAACAGGGGCAGCGTGCACACTGCGTTGCCACCAAATCTCTTGACAGAGCAGAAACAACAGTGCTTGGCAAGAAGATGGCAGCTAAGCACACAGCTTTGGGTTTGTGTCTTTCTCCCCAATTCCGGCGGTGATCCACCTCCCACACTGTGCTCCTGAAAGGGCGCACCACCTCTCCCCACTCTTCCATTCTAGAGCTTTGACTCATCATTTCCCGCATTCTAGGTATTGCTCTGGTGAACTCATTACACACTTGGGTATGTTCTGATCTCGCTGCATTAGCCATGTCTGAACTGATCAGAAGGCCTGGTACATACATATTTAGTTATATACGTGAAATGAAACAAATGTGTCATTAAATGGCACCTGTCCTTTTCATGTGTAGTGCACCGTCATCTATTCTGTTCTGTTCTATTCTATTCTATTCTATTCCTTAATTACCCCAGAATTCATTTCATGACTTAATAATGGATCACTGCCAACACTTTGGAAAAGCTATTTGCAAATGCTAACATTTCTCATTTTCCTAAGAAACACCTGCCATTCACAGGCAAGTCAAGGTGGATGGGAGGGTGTGGATAGTGGGCACCCACCTTGCCTTAGGTGCTAACACTTCCTCCTTCTCCCTCACCCCATGACCTGGCAGATGGGGAGGTGCCCGGCAGTGCTGTGCTGGTGTTTGACATTGAGCTGCTGGAGCTGGTGGCAGGCCTGCCTGAGGGCTACATGTTCATATGGAATGATGAGGTGTCCCCCAACCTCTTTGAAGAAATTGACAAGGATGGCAACGGAGAGGTCGTCCTCGAAGAGGTAATTTGCCCTTTGAAGGAAAATGAAATTGAAAGAACCGGCAGGTCTCCCCATTGTTGTGCCGTGGAGCCTGTTCTGAATATGAAACCTTGTGACAGTGACAACAGTGTACTCTTGCATCACGTACTTTTACATAAACTCTCTAAACTGAGGCTCACGATTTGTTTTTCTGAGAAACTGATTCACCGAGGGTGTAGGGATTAATTCAGGGCATGTCCATCTGGACTAAGTTCCCTGTTCCTGGTGCCTTGTGGGTGCTGATTGTTCTTCCATGTACAGTCTTGGTCTGGCCTCACAACCATAGGGTTACCCCTGTTTTTCAGAAGAAGAAACTGCAGACAAGGTAATGACTTGCCTGAGGTCACAGAGCTGCCACAGGTTTGAGGCTGGATGCACCCGCTGTGTGGATCAGTGCTGTTTCTCCTGTCTCATCTGCCCCATCATGGCACTGGACAGTGGGGTCATTTCTCTGGATACAGTCTGTGTGTCTGCCCCTTCCACATTTGCTCATCCATGGACGTCAATCAGCCTTCCTCCTTTTTCTCTTCTGTGTCATTGTTTCCCTCCATCTACTGGTTTGTCCATATTAGCAAACTTGCTTTTATTTTCCCTTTTCTTGATGCCTCTTTCTAGTTCTTTCATTTCTTCACTCCTTTTACATCAAAAACCTCCACATAATTGTCTGCCTTCTTGGCCCCCAGTGACTCTCCTCCCAAAGTCTGCTTGTCCCTCTTTCTAGTAAATTAATAAACTTCATATTTAGAATAGTTTTAAATTTACAGAAAAGTTAATCAAAAAGTACAGCATTCCCAGTATATCCCTTCTTCCCCTCCTGCCAAGCTCTCTGGGTGGTGGAAATGATTTTCACTCAAGTACTAGTCTAAAGATTGGCAGTTTGAACCCACCCACTAGGACTGTGGGAGAAAGGCTTGGCAGTCTGCTTTCTCAGTAAGTACAGCCAAGGGAATCCTTTGGAGCAGTTCTGCTCGGCAGCAGACTGTGTCACCAACAGGTTAAGATAGTCCCCTTCCACGCTTACCTGAGGGTTCACTTTTTGTGTTGTATTGTTCTGTGGGTTTTGGCAAATTCAGGATGTCCATTATTCATCATTACAGTACCATACTTCATTCCCTCTTCACCAGCCCCATCCGTTTCGTTTTAATCTTACTTTTACCACACATGACCTGTGCTCAATCCAAAGGCTGTTCTCAGCCTCCTCTTTCTTCAACACAGCCCACTCCCTTGCCGGGTACTTTATCTATGGCTTCCAGAAGACCATGTTTTCTTGGTTTCCCTCCTGCCTTCTCCAGTCTCTTCTTCCTGCACTCTTCCTGTTGAATGCCCCAGGTGAAAGCTGAGCCTCCTCTGATCCATTCTCTTGTTGGTTTCATTTTGCCCATAACTTTACCATCTATATACATAACAAAAGAGAGCTCTAGTGGCCTAGTGGGTAAGGAGTTAACGCTGCCAACCCAAAGGTAGGTGGTTTGAATCCACCAACAGCTCCAAGAGAGAAATATGAGCAGTCTCTTCCTGTGTAGTTTATAGCCTCTGAAATCCTACTTGAAGGTCAGCTGTTGAGTCTGACCTAACTTGATGGCACATAATAACAGCATCCTTACAAAGCCCAATTTGTATCTCCAGTGTCATCTTCTCCTTCCAGTTCACATTCATATATACCACTGCCAATTTGACATCTAATTATCAAAGCCCCGATACTCCCCTCCCTTTTGACTGAGGGCTTTCTTCCGCCGAAGCCGCCTCCATCTCCATCTCAGCTGCAACTGCTCAGACCAGCTGCAACTGCTCAGGAATCTTCTTTCTTTCATAAACCGGAAAACCAGACTTGTTGCCCTTGAGTGAGTCCCAGCTCACAGCAACACCATGGATTGCAAAGTAGAACAGCCTTATGTCTTTTTCTTGGCTAAACTCTTTACAGGAGGAGCTTAACACGCCTTTATCCTGTAGCTATGCTGGCTGAGTTTGAATTGCCAGTGATTAGGCTTAGTAACCAAGAACAAACCATTTTAAATCCATGAGGACGTGATCCTGGTTCTCTCTTGAAAATGCATCCCAAGCACAACCAGTTCTTGCTTTCTGCGCCCTCACCATCCTGACTTTTCCACTCCACACCAGCCTGCACTTGGAGGACTGCACTACAGACCTTTCTCCTTCTACTCCCACCTCACATGGTAGGCAGAATCTGATCATGCTCCTGTTCTCAGTGTTAGATAGAAAAAAGAGTTGAAGGCGAGAAAGAGAAAGAAAAAAAAATTGATCCCAAGGAATGAACAGGCCTTCATTGCATGGTCTGAAAGGGTCGCCAAGTGACCACTAGCAAAAAAAGTCAGTCTGGCACAAGGGCAGTTAAGGGCAGTTTCTTTTTCTAAGGGTTCTAGGGAAGACTAAAAAAGATAGTATTTTTCTTGGAATTTAGGGCTGTTAATTGACTTAGATTAGGCTTTTGTGATCAGACACAGAACCTTATCAGGATCCATTGTCTGTGCTGATCTTTGGTCTGGTTTCTGGCCTAATGTTTGCTTTGGTCTCTGCTCTGGTTATCAGTTTGCTCAAAGAATGATCAGGTGTGAGGGCAACTGCTACTGTCATCGTTCTTCCTCCACTCAGAACCCTGAGTGGATCTGACTTTCTCAGATCCTTGTATCAGCCTGTCAAACTCCACAGCCTGTTTGGTATAACCCCCTCTTTGCCTACTCTCCCCCAGTCTCACTCCACCCAGCCTCACCCTTCCCATTCTGTCCTCTGGACACACCAGAGAATTTATGTCAACCTTGGGTCTTGACACTTGCTCCAATCTGTTCAGTATATAGTTCTCCCAGACTTACTTTGTTTCTCCACATCCTCAACCCTTTACACAAGGCTCCACTTTTCATTGAGATGTACCCTGGCCACCTGATTGCATGTCAGCCGCACTCTGAGGGCAAGATGCTTGTTCTGTTATCTGTCCCAAGAATCTAGGATAGGGCTTGACACATACTAGACATGCAGTAGGTTTTTATTATATTCCTAGACAAAACAGATCCATGAGTAAATGAGCCCAACCATGTCTTCTAAGGCCCGAGCAGTTAAGAGGGTCAGCCTTGGAGGGCACGTAATAGTCCCTTGGGAGAAAGGATAGTTCAGATGACCACTTTGAAGGAACTGTTTATATCCTTAGAGCTTTTGGCATTTGTAACCTGCATATGGAGCAAAGTGGCTCAGTGATGCAGTTAATGTGCTCAGTGGCTAGACAAAGGCTAGGTTAGGTTAGAGGTGCCTCATGAGAAAGGCTTACTTGTGAAAAAAGAACCAATGAAAATCCTAAGGAGCGCAGTTGTACTCTGATATGCATGGGGTCGCCACGAGTTGCACTTGACTCCACAGTGACCGGTGTGGTGCGGGATGGAGAGAGAGCCCAAGTGGTGCAGCTCCTGAGAAGATTTTCCTTCCCCTTTGGCGAGTTGAGTGTGAAGTCCCAGCCTTCTCAGGCCACTGTGTCTCACATCTGCCCTGTCCCCTGTGCAGTTCTCAGAGTACATCCACGCCCAGGTGGCCTCGGACAAGGGAAAGCTTGCGCCTGGCTTCGACGCTGAGATGATCGTGAAGAATATGTTCACCAACCAAGACCGCAACGGGGACGGAAAGGTCACGGCTGAGGAGTTTAAACTCAAGGACCAGGAGACCAAGCACGATGAACTCTGAACTCCACATGGGCCAGCTGGTGCCAGGGAGAGCATGACGTCGGGTCACCTGTTGTGGCGGGTGCCCAGGGAGGGCTGAGGGTTTCTCAGAAGGCGCATCATTAGCAAGCGGTAGATGAGGTCACGTTGTACCTGATGTATACATCAGGGGCAGGCTGACACACAGGGTGAAAATTTAGGGCAACTGCCAGTGACAGTAAACAAAATCAGCGTGGAGTGTGGGCCCGGCGGCACTGCCAGCCTCACAGTGCCTCACGAGCCTCCTGGGACATTTTGTTATTGAGAGAAAACCGTGTCACATGGCAACTATTACTATCTAGGATGGGACAGGAAAAAAAAGTGTTTGGGGTGTTTATGTAAAGAGGGTTGTTTGTATTTTTTTTTTTAACTTGTTAGTGTTTTGAAAGTGTTCTCCAGATGGTTAGGCCTGTCAAAAGGCCACTCTGGCAGGTTTCCCAGAAAGCTGCTTGAGCTGGGCCACGCGGCTCAGCCTCCCCCACCAGCAGATTCCACTTTTCCAGGTAATGACATCCCTGTCGCCCTTCCGTCTGGCAGTGTGGCTTTGAGTTTAAGAAGAGCCTCCCGGCCCAGAAGAGCAGAGTCCTGATCAAAAGAGGGCTGGGACCAAAACAGATAAATTGATTTGCATCTGCCACATAGACTGCTCACCTCTTTCCTAGTCGCCTGATCGTGCCCTGTGGAGCACACTCCTTGGGCCCCACATGGCCCAGTACATGAGGCTGCTGGCTGGGCTTACCGGGTAGCCCCGCAGGGAAGCTCCCAGGATCCACATGGTGACACTTTTTGCCATTCATCTGTGACCTGTATAAAGCTGGACCCCTCTCTCTGACACAGGAAAACAAGGCCAGTCCCTGCCTGCCTGTCCCACATTGCTCTCTTACACTCCCTGTTCCCCAAGTGGTGGTGGCACTTACCCTGAAATCATCCATGGTTTCTCCTTTTTGAAAACAGCATTATTTTACTAATTTAAAAGATTTTGTACTGATGTAGCCCTGAGATAGTTCATGCAAATGCTGTGCGCTCATTCAGTGAAATGAATGTTGGAACACTGATCTTTCTTATATAAAATATTGAATTCTGTCATCTGGTTGTGTGGTGCTTTCTTTTGAGCCCGAGAGGGCCCTCTGAGAAGGCATTCTGCAGTCAGAATCCTCTTGTTGAAAGCTTGGCAGAACCACATTACACTTGGAAGCAGCACGCTGGACAGCAGATGGGGGAGTCCATCAGTCAGGGTCCTGGAAGGAAACAAGGCATCTTGTGTGGGATTTCCTAGGAGCATCTTGTGAAAGGACTATAGATAGGGCTGTAGGCCAGGTTGGTACTGAGGTTGGTGCTGAGTGGCAGCAAGGTTGACCAGCCACAGCGGGAAGCTGTTACTACCTCTGGACCTCATGTTGTTGCTGTTGATTCAGAACCAATTCCTAACTGACCCTCTGGTGAGTTTTCAGAGGTGGTGAATCACGTGGGAGGAGGTTTCCCATCTTTCTCCTGTAGAACTGCTGTGGACTCAACCCACCAAGGAACGTTTTGAGGTTCGCACAGCTACCTGCAGACTGTGCCACCACAGTGCTCTTGATGGGATCTGGGGAGGGGGAACGAGCATTTACTAGAGCTGTGTGTGAGGCAAGCGAGGAAGGATGCAGCCAAACTCAGAACTGTGCCGGGCTCTGAAGGGAAGGCATGAAGGCGGATGTTCCACATCCTCCCTGTTCTCCCACCAGGAACCAGGCAGATGCCAGAGGGAGAGGAGCTCAGGTTTGGCTCTCAGGGGTCAGCCTCAGGCAAAACCTGGCAGAGAGTGAGTCCAAGGTAGTGGATGGAGCAGTGGGAGCAAATGAAGCATAACTAAACTGGTACATGTGAGGATGGGAAAATTCACTTATTTATACATATTGTGTGTGTGTACGTATACACACACATATATACATCTATAGGGAGTTCTGGTGGCTTAGTGGTAAGGTGTTGCACTGCAAGCCAAAGCATGCAGTTCGAATTTACCAGCTGTTTCAAGGGAGAAAGATGGGCAAGCTCCTCTCCGGCAGTTGACTGCTGAAGGACCAACTATGGGTCGGTTCCAACTCTATGAAACACAACAGCAACATCTACAACCTTTTCTATAATCAGTTGCTGTCAAGTCATTCCTGACTGATGACACGCTGAGTGATAGGACTGCTCTGTGGAATTTGCGGTGGCTGATATTATGGAAGGAAAGTTTCAGGCCTTCTCAGGCATGTCTTGTAGACTGAAACGTCCAACCTTGCTGTTAGCAGTGAGCACGTTAACTGTGTGCCACTCCAAGGTGTATGTGTGTGGGTGTGTGTGTGGGTGTGTGTACACACCCACTGCTGTCGAGTCAATTCCAACTCAGTGACCCTCCCACCCCGTTGAGTTGCAAAGACTCAATCTTTACAAAGTGAGATTTCCCATCTTTCCCTCACAGAGCAATGGGTGGTTCTGCACCATCCACCTTTCAGTTGCTGCTTTGTGTTTCTGTTTGTATGTGTATGACGACATAACGGTTAATTGCTAGGTTGCTAAGTGAAAGGCTGGCAGTTGAAATCCATCCAGCAGCTCTGAGGGAGAAAGAGCTGCTGAACTGCTCCTGTTGTTGTTGTTGTTTACCATCAGGTTGCAACTACCTTCCATGGGGATTTTTGTTGTTTTGTTGGTTTTTTTCTTAGTTTTTATTTTATATTGGTTTGCTGACAAAGTTTGTATACATTGTGTTTCACGATCTTTCATTCGCATTGTTTCATACAATCATTCCCATTCTTGATATTTTATCAAATCAACGCTGAACTATGCCCACCATTACCGTGTCTTTCTAGATCCTCCCTGAATCCTTCCCATTTCCTTTTCCCACCCTTCCTCAGACCTCCATCAAATTGGGCAACCCTATGATTCCCATCCCCCCCATCCTCACCCTTCTGCTCCTGTCCTCCCCTGCTTGGATACTCAAACACGTTTTACTATTTATCTATCTATCTATCTATAATAATGATCTTATACAGTATTTGTCCTTATAGGATTGGGTTAGTTAACTCAGCATAGTGATCTCCAGTCCTTCCCAAGTTATGTAATAATTTTTAAAATCATTGTACCTGTATGCTCCATAGTATTCCATTGTGTGAATGTGCCACAGTTTCTCAACCTATTAGATTGTGATTGGACAAATGGACTGTTTTCATTTCTTGGGATGGTAAATGATGCTGCTATGAACATTGATGTACAAATCTCCTTTTGTGTCTCAGCCCTAATTTTCTTGGGTTATATTCCAAGTAGTAGAATAGCTAAGTCATTAGGAATTTCTATTTTCAGCTTTTTGAGGAAATGTCAAACTGCCTTCCAGAATGGTTGTATCAATTTACAATATGAACAGTGCAGAAGAGTTTCCACTTTTCCACACCCTCTTCAACATTTATTGCTCTCTAGCAGGTTTTTAGATGCAGTAAATCACACGAGGGGAGATTGCCCATCCTTCTGTGGAGTATCTAGTGAATTTGAATGTGGTTATAGCACAGCTTCTTAACATAGGCCATTATAGCCTAGCAAATCCAGTGGGGCAGTTATGTCATATGGGGCTTGACGTACAACAATAGCATACAGGTATGCACACACACATAATTGTTTTATTAAAGCAAGTGCTTCAGGAGTGGAGGGTTGGGGCATCCAGTAAATAAAGAACAGACACAATCAACTTGGGTGAAGAGAAAGGTAATATACAATGAGAGGATTATGCGTATTTTACTACTAACAAAAGGGCAGATACAGAGAAGTATACAAGAGATAGTCAAGAAAGAAAAATAAACCAGGATGATGGGGGTTAGAGGGAAGCCAATGTCCTTGTTTACCCTCCACAGAAGAAACTACTTCAGGAGCCTCATGTGCATTTGGGAGGTAAAAGATACGCCCATCTCTTCCTGGCTGCTGCCAGCTTGTGTTTGATCCAGGCCAACCAGTTGGGCACCTCCCTGCCACCCACAACGATAGGAGCCCAGCTGAAGGGCTTGTGGGTGATGGGTAGAGACAAGTGTCTGTCTAATTTGGTGAGAGAAGGGATGAGGATGTGAGAGGAGAGGTGTAATTGGAGATATTTAAGCTCTCAAGGGAAATACTGAAAGCCTTTGGAGGTGGCATTTGCTCCAAGAACATGTGGGGACACAGTGGTTTCATCAGCCACAGACAGGATCACCTGGGTTTTGAATTGTGTCCCTTAAAAAGTTAAATTGAAAGGGAGCTCTGGTGGCCTAGTGGCAGGAAGCTGCACTGCAATCCCAGAGGTGCGCAGGTCAAATCCATCAGACGCTCTGCTGGAGAAGGAGGGACAATCTCCTCCTGTACCAGTCAGATCCGATTTGACAGTATACACAAAAGTAATTAAAAAAAAAAAATTTAAAAAAGTTAAATTGAGGCACTTTGGTGGCTTAGTGAATTGTGCCATCAACCCAAAGGCACATGGTTCAGATACGCCCATAGGGTAAACTATGACTTGGTTCTGACTTGTTGGTACATAGCAACAGCACTGTTTTGGCTGTTTGTTTTTAAAGTTGAATTCTTGATTGCTATGCCTTGTTTGGAAATAAGGTCTTTGAAGATGTAGTCAGTTTGACCCAAGATCATACTGTGGCATCTGTGTGTGTCCTCTTTTATAAGGGCAGCTCTCTGGGCGACTCAGGACCCATCCTATCTCTCACCCCTTCTGCCCTCTGTCTCTTTTTCTTCTCTGGGTCAGAGGACAGATTTAGAGCGAAGATTGCTTGCTTTTCTTGGTACAGCCCGAGGAGACTCAGAGTGGTGGGGCATATCTGCTTTCTGTTTTAGCATGGACTATTTCTTCAGAGATGAGTTGTGAGTGGGACAGGTCAGCCGTGCCTCCTCTTCCTTCCATCTCTTTGTTGGATGTTAATTTGCAGTCTGAACCTTGAAATTAAGTCTGAATCTGCTACTCAGTGACTTTAATAAGTTTCTTACCTCTTTTCTGCACCCAAAGAGGATAGACAAAATGAGTACATTTTCCCCTGGTTTTTTAAAAAAATAT